CCCACTCTGCCTAGCACAGGGTGCGGGTGCCCAGCACTTCACATGTCTTCACCACAGCTTCATCATAAGGTTGTAATTTCACTTCTCCACTGAAAAAAAACCCTACTTAGAAACACTCATCTTGCCCATTCTGGCTTATTCCCAGCCTGTTGCAAGGGTGGGAAGTGTGCGGGCTGGTGGCTGATTGCAGCTTGTAATTAGTTTGTTATGGACTGTGGACTCACTGTTCTTGCAGAGCGAGAGAGGATGATATCCCTATAACGTTGCACTTCTGGCTATATATATATATATGTATGAACTACCAAATGAAAGCCCTCAGTGAAGCCCTTCCTGACCGCATGGTGAACCACATCAAAATCACATCCACCGGAGTCACAAATTGTACAATTCACACAGCTGAAATTGTGTAGCATTTGTTTGGCCTTTCCTTGTTCGTTATTTTGCCTTTCTTTGTTCAACTCCACCTTCTGCAGCACTTACTGATAGTTGCCTCTGGGCAGAGGCAGTGGCAATCCTTGCCTTATAGTGAGGGATTGTTGTGTCTCCAGGAGTGGACTCCTCACGCACAGAGGTTGAGCCTTGGGGTGAAATATATGGTGTTAAGTTCATACGAGAGTGACTTGGCTCAATGTCTTGGTGTCAGTGGGAGGCACAGCATGGCTCCGTATCTTGGTGTCAGTAGGAGGCTAGATAAAAACTAAGTTTCTAGCACTGAGGAGTTGGATATGGGTAAGATTTTGAAAGATTGCCCGAGCCCCCTGTGGGTTTCTGTTTCCAGGTTTTGTAAAAACAGTGCTAAGAAACTGATGAACTAAAGTGGAGACAGAGTCATGTCTCTTACCACAGCACTCCCCAGAGGACTGGCTGTAACCTCTGCTTTCAGAACAGATTTTCCAGCTGCTCCGATTCACCTGTTTTAATACCAAGAGCCTCCTCTAATTTGCCCCACGCTGGCATCATTTTGTTGTGAGGTTGGGAGCAAAACCAACACTCGGTAGAGTGAGGCCATGAGACAAGGATTGCAGGAGGGTTATAAAACTTGCCTTTCCTTCCAGAAGGGATCTGCTGTTAGCTCTTTCAGTTAAATCATGCACAGAAACAGGCTGGTAACATAAACAGGAGAGGCATCCAAGTAACGGCACTTCCCCTTTCCAATCCGAGATGTCCAGCCGAAATCTAAGGAAACAGCCGCTGTCCCAGCAGCAGGAAGTGGCTCTACCAGGATCCCCAAGTTTCCAGCGCAGTATTTCAAAATCCAGCTCAGTCTTTCTTGTGAAATATAAGAGACTGAATTATATAAACTCATCCCAGAGAGATACAGCAGTGAGTCTGAATGCAGACTTGGGTCGGCCTTCGGGGAGCTGCTTCACGACCATAACTAACAGCAGCATGCTGGAAGATTACTCATCCCCCATTGAATAACTGTCTGCATTGGATAGTTCCCTTTTGCCAAAAGAAAAAAAAAAAAAAGATGGGCATTTCAGGACTATGTAGTACTGAAGTATGCTTCAGTTCCCATAAATAATACTGCTTAGCATGAATGCACTGAGATCTATTCACATAGCATGAACTTGTTTTCATCTTTTGAAAATTGTAGAATTCTGGAATAAACAAAATGAAAGCTTTTTTTTTCTTTTTTCTCCTGCACATGGCTCAGAATAAAGCAGTGGGAGTTTTTTATTCCTGGGCACGAAAACAAGGTATTGGCACAACCCATACTAATAGGCATACTGTAGATGCAGATACAGTGTACATGGTGTCATGAGGAGCTGCTCCCTTTCTCAGAACAGAGTTTACAATTCTGAATTTTTAAACCTTCTTTTTCAATCTGAAGCATCTCTATCATCTACTCTGATTTTTTAGTGGTATTCTGATAATTCCTATAATGTAGGACAGTCTGCACAAAGAAGTGTTCACTGCTGCAAAGAAGTGATACATCTAAGAAGCAGGGAAGAAGCAGGGATATAGACAGGACTCATATATGTTGAATATGTTAGTAAGTATTGACGATCAGTATCTGTTGTTATTACCTGGCCTATTTCAGCAGTCACGAATAGGAATGATGCAGCTGCTTTGCTGCTTGAGCATTGCACTCGCAGGGGTGCATGAGTGAATCACGTAGCCCGTCCACCAGGGTGGCGGGGCAGATAAATCCGGTGGTGCCCTCCATACAGGGATCTACACCTTTGCACACCCACACCTGCAACCTGTGTAAGTCTTCCCAGTGAGACGACAAAACTCACTTTTGAGGTACTACAGGCTTCAGGATGTTGGTGAGCCACGAGGGTCTCGTTATATATACACGTGTATACATATATGTGTGTGTATATATATATATATACATGTATACATGTATATATAAGCTGTTTCTTTTGTAGCTGTATAAATTGCACTTCATTCCTAATTTTAAGTAGTCTGATCTTTTTCCTGCCTGGCAAATTACTTATTCAGCAAACTGTCTACCTAATGTGAAGTTTTCAAATGCAGTAATAGGTGTTCAGATTTTATACATATTTGCGCAAATGACTTAATTGATGTTTTATAAGAACGCAGAAGATACTTGCGTGAGAAGAGCTTTGTCATTTCTCACAGTGTAAGAGTAATACACAGTGTACTACAAGCAAAATGACATTCTGAATAAGTAAAATCACCACATTTTTGTGCTATCTGGAGGCCTCTGTGACTGATTAGTCATATTGTGCATATTAATTACGAAAGGGTCAAGCATCAGCATTGCCGAGTGCCTTATACCCCACTGATTTTATTCAGAGTTGCATATCCACGTCATTACAGCTGTGTGAATAGCAAGTTGTTTAGTTCACTGGCAGTTCTGAAAAACAAGAACCTCTTCAACTGGGAAGCATCAGGAGGTTTGAGTTTTTCTTCCATTGAATAAATAGAATGAGACGACCAAGCCATTTTATTTCAGTTGTGAGTGTCTCTAAAAAAGGCAAAGAAAAAAAAATGAAATCAAAGGGTTACATTCACAGAGGGATGTGGAATATGTCTCTCATAAAAGCTGTGACAAGACACATTCTTACACATCTCAAGCCTCCTAAGAGATAACAGCCTGAATTAAGTAAGTCCTTTCTCTGAAGAAGTCAAAGGATAGACTTAAAACCCAGGATTTGCAGATAGCGGGGAAGCATGGTAAGCAGTGGGCAAGAAAGTCCATAGCTGGTTGAGTTGTTTTGGGAATAGTATTTACATCTCCTCTGGCTCATAAGAATCTACACTGTTTCCTCTTGACAATGCTAGACTGTTTTTTGGTATATATATATATTTAATTTTAGCTTAACCAAAACTATTCCCAAAAATGTATTTTTCAGAATCTTTTTCTATTTTTTTTTTTTGTGGAATATAATGAAACACTTTACCAGGTGTACTCTGATAAAGTCTGTGGTGAAGAGTATCGCTCTGTCTGTCCCACAGTAACAGGACTGTGGTGGCCTAGGACTGGAAGAGTTTGGTCTGTCTTGCTGTTCGAGAACAGGATACTCTTATCTGCTCTGCTCTTCCTCATCTCCTTCTCCCCATCTGGGTTGAAAATACGAATCATGTTTTATCAGTGAAATTGCTTCACAGATTGTACAATCCACTTAGGAGGATTAATACTGGTCTTTTGTAAGTATGATCTATGTGCTGCAGATGAATAAATTTGCATGTGTGAGAAAGAACAAATTTAGATAATTGAGCGGTGCAGAGCTTAGTGCTAGGAACATTCACACAATAGTATCTGTTTCACCAGATGTGCGTGACTAAGTGGTGTCTTGCTACTTGTTACAGAATGCTAACTGCAGAAAGGGATGCTAAAAGTATGACCTTTAAGTATATAGGGAGAGAAACAGTTATTTGCCAAGTGCAAAAGATTGCAAAGCTTCAAGAGCAAATTATATGGCCAGTGGACATGAGAGGAGAAAAGCTGAGCTGCACATAGAGTCATGCAGACAACTAAATAGGTTTTTCCTGGCTTATATTCTTCATAAAAGGAGGATACTCTTGCAGATTGTATAATTTATTAGGGATTCATGGGAAAGTACAATTTCTAAATACATTTAATGATATATGAGAATCCTCATTATTTATGGTAGTTAGGAATGTGGAACTTCTAGAGACGGTCCAGCTCAGAGGGACAAAGATGATTAAGGGACTGGAGCATCTACCATATGAGGGAAGACTAAGCGAGCTGGGCTGGGCCTGTTTAGCCTGGCGAAGTATGAGAGGGGATCTGATCAACATGTACAAATAGCTGAGGGGAGAATGTAGGGAGGATGGGGCCAAACTCTTCTCGGTGGTGGCCAGTGACAAGACAAGGGGTCATGGGTATAAATTGAAACACAGGAAGTTCCATCTCCAAGTGAGGACGAAGAACTTTCCTGTGAGGGTGACAGAGCACTGGAACAGGCTGCCCAGAGAGGCTGTGGAGTCTCCTTCTCTGGAGATCTTCCAAACCCACCTGGATGCCACCCTGTGCCTAAGTATGCTCTTATAGATGGATTTTTTTGTTAGCCATTTCTTTTTCCTGTGAGAAGGTCTTGCATTATAAGCAATGAATAGGTAGCAGATTATAGATTTATTGAGCAAGATCACAAGAGCAGCTAGATTTAAGAATATTACTAAAATTCAGGTTCGTTGTGTGTTGTGTTCTTCATCATTGCCAAGATGGCACAAATTATTGCTGACCAGAAGAAATAAAGTTTGCACATTCTGCCAGAGAGTTTCCATGGGTGCTGACACTGGCCAGTGGCTTATTGAAGTGTTATCATAAAGATGAGAAATGAAATGCCTTCAGCCTGATACACTGTATGTGCATCTTCACGAATCGCTTTTGGTTCAGAGCTCGCGAAGGGGAGATTATTTCTTGCGCTGAGGAGATGGCAGACTTGAAGCCAGCCAAGTGCTCCGGAGCCGGCTGCCCGGCTCGGCCGAGGCTCGGGATCCGCCTCCGGCTGCCGTCCTGCCGCGGCAATGACCCCTCTCTTGTCTGTTGTGACACCCAGGTGAAAAGCAGGCGGCAGAGCCGGACGATGCGGAGCTGCTGAGCCTCAGCAAAAGGCTGGTGGAGAATGCGGTGCTCAAGGCCGTGCAGCAGTACCTGGAGGAGACGCAAAACAAAAACAAACAGGCTGATGGAAGCCCGGTGAAAACCGAAGAAGCAGCTAGTGGCAGCAAGCATGAAAACGAGAATGGTAGCAGCAAGTGAGCGTGTGCAAAAGCCCAGGAGCACACAGCCCGCCGAGAGGAACCGCAGGAACACGTTCCCGCTGCCTGCGCGGCCGGCAGCGCGGCGCTGGCTCACAGGCCTCGGCTTTGCGAGTCCCTGAGCAAGAGTTTGTTCCCGACCGAAGGACGCTGCCGACCAGCTCCGCTGGGGCGTTTGCCTTGCTGGGAATCCAGTGAGCGTGGGAGAGACGGACGGCGGGAAGAGACAGCAGGGTGGCACGGACAGCTCCGGCGCTCACCGGCTCTTGCTCCCGAGCCCTTCGGGAGGCTCCGCTCGGGCCCTCTCGGCACTGCCGCTGCCCCGGCCCGGGCACGCGCTGCCTCAGCAGCACTCGCTCCTGGGCTAAAAATGACCACTCCAGATACTATTACACAGTATGTAATATAGCAGGAGCTCCTCTTAAATATGACACTGTACTGTTCTTTACTTTTGGTAACACTTGTTCAAATAAATTATATTTTTTGACAAAGTATGACCTTTTTATATGTAATAAATGTGGGCAAAATTCTTAGCGATTAATACTGTCCAAAACAGATATGTTCTCTTTATATCCGTACACTTATGATTCTAAATGGCATTAGTTATTACAAAATGTATTATATTGTTCTTTTCCTCCAGGAAAGACTCATGATGCAGAGTTAGTAAAGGAAGCTTTGCACAGAGAAACACAGGCCCTGTTATCCAAGCTGGATCAGATAAAGAAGCTGTTGTCAAGTCCTGAGGTCCGCAAGAAACTTAGCAGAGAACTGTTTGAAGAGAGGCACAACTGTACCAGTAAAGGGGAGAGTGGCGTTGACTCTGGATCCCCAAATGCGTGATTGTAAATTGCCATGGTGTAAAATGTCAGCAGAGATTTTCTTTCCTGTTTCTTATTTGCAGAAAATATAAATGGGTGTAAATGGTTTGTGAGATACTCAAATATACTGAAATACCTGCACATAAGGAGTGTATTTCATAATGATGATCTAAAGCCACTGCTCAGCACAGCTTCGAAATGTGCAGGTGTATGTCATGTTCCAAAGTGGAAAAATACTGGTTTCAAATAAATCTGAGCAAACACTGTGCCCTTCCTCTATCATTGCAAATAATTTTTGAGATTTTTCTCACAGGTTATTTCTGTAGCAATGACACACAAATATTTAAATAATGAATACTTTTAAATACTTTGAAATGTATATTTGAAAAAAAAAAGCTCTTTTAATTATCTGCCTTTTGTATATGTACTGCCATTTTGGGTTAGCACTGTCTTATTTTTTATTTTTGTTTTTAAACAGGACTTGAATACTTGTATAGATGCCGATATGAAGTTTTTGTTTACATTAAATCAAGAATGTTTAAATTTTCAAATGAAATTCTGGCTCTACTGATCTCAATGGCAAAACTCTTTACTTGTTTTAATGGAGCCGGGATGCTGTCCTCAAGACTACTCTTGAAAGTAGTATTCCTTAGGATGATGTTTGCCTTTTTATTTTTGTAGAAGA